GCTGTAGGTTTTTGTGGAAACTGGATTATTATCACCTGCGACAAAAAACTGTTTGCAGTGCATACAAAGGAAACCAGGTTTGACTTTAAATCTCTTTCATTGGCTCCGTGTTAGAAATGCTCGCAGCTCTTCACGTTAGAGCGAATACACTGGGACATGGACGTATGGTTAGCTTGCTTTTAGGGCTTTCTAAAATAGGAGGTCATACTTAATTATACTGTTTAAAGAAAGTGCTGTTACCCTTACACCCCACCCAACCAAGCGCTCTCCTTGCTCAATCTATACTTGTGGATAATCATACAAGAAAATCTGTGAATATGGGGTAACTCTTGTTTATTGTGTAGAGATATATAAATCATGACACAACGATGGTTTCAAATGATAAAAACCGCCACTTACGAATTACACTTGGTTCCACAAAAACGTGTACGGGGATCACATTTTTGCAGTGTTGCTCCTGCAAACACCAACAGGGGAAGTGATGTAAAACAAGCTGAAAGCTCTCAGCTTTAATTAAAGGGGTTCCTCCATTTCCACAGGCTCAACAGAAACTGAGCCGGCAAAGTTATGAGGGTTATTTGAACATTAGATTAACATCCTCTGCGTCAAAGACTGCTTGAAGTCTGGAACCGATGAACATTAGCGAATAGTTTCCTCCTCTGAGATGCTCTGCCGCCTGCCACCACCTTCAGCTGCTTCAAACCTCTGAGTACATTCATGATGGCATCTTTTGACTTTGGACATCTGGAAAATACTGCTGTAGCTCTCCTGGTTGAGCTGTCTGTATATGAAACACTGAGCTCTTGTTACAGAGGCCTAGGTTTGCTTGGTATCTGGCAGCCTGTGATTTCTTTCTGCTCCTCTTTAAGTGTTGCTATCTACAGATAACATGCTAAAAAGTAACAAATTGTTGGTACATGTTTAGGTGTTCCTCCTGTATCCGAGGTTCGACTAACGGACGAACTCTCCTTTCCAGCACCCTGGCATAGACTTTCCCAGGGAGGCTGAGGAGTGTGATCCCCCTGTAGTTGGAACACACCCTCCGGTCCCCTTTCTTAAAGATGGGGACCACCACCCCGGTCTTCCAGTCCACAGGTACTGCCCCTGATCTCCACGCAACATTGCAGAGGCGTGTCAACCAGGACAGCCCTACAACATCCAGAGCCTTCAGGAACTCGGGGCGGACCTCATCAACACCAGGAGCTCTGCCACCAAGGAGTTGTTTAACTGCCTCAGTGACCTCGCCCCCGGAAATTGGCGGGTCATTCCCTCATCCCCAGACTCTGCTTCCTCCTCGGAAGACGTGTCAGTGGGATTAAGGAGGTCCTCGAAGTATTCCTTCCACCGCCTGACAATTTTCTCAGTCGACGTCAGCAGCGCTCCGCCAGCACTATACACAGTGCAGGTAGAGCACCGCTTTCCCCTCCTGAGACGCCTGACGGTTTGCCAGAATCTCTTCGAGGCAGTCCGAAAGTCTTTTTCCATGGCCTCTCCGAACTCCTCCCACACCCAAGTTTTTGCTTCAGCCACTGCCCGCACTGGAACGGTTCGCAGCCGAGTGTGAAGCAGCGGGAATGAGGATCAGCACCTCCAAATCTGAGGCCATGGTTCTCAGCCGGAAAAGGGTGGAGTGCCCACTCCGGGTCGGGGATGAGTTCCTGCCACAAGTGGAGGAGTTCAAGTATCTCGGGTCTTGTTCGCGAGTGATGGGAGAAGGGAGCCGGAGATCGACAGACTGATTGGGGCTGCAGCTGCAGTAATGCAGACGCTGCACCGGTCCGTCGTGGTGAAGAGGGAGCTGAGTGTAAAAGCGAAGCTCTCAATTTACCGGTCGATCTACGTCCCTACCCTCACCTATGGCCACGAGCTGTTGGTAGTGACCGAAAGAACGAGATCGCGGATACAAGCGGCAGAAATGAGCTTCCTCCGAAGGGTGGCTGGCCTCTCCCTTAGAGATAGGGTGAGAAGTTCGACCATCCGGGAGGGGCTCAGAGTAGAGCAGCTGCTCCACATCGAAAGGAGCCAGCTGAGGTGGTTCGGGCATCTGGCGAGGATGCCCCCTGGGCGCCTCCTGGGTGAGGTGTTCCAGGCATGTCCCACCGGGAGGAGGCCCCGGGGCAGACCCAGGACACGCTACAGAGATTATATCTCTCGGCTGGCCTGGGAACGCCTTGGTATTCCCCGGATAAGCTGGAGGAGGTGGCTGGGGAGAGGGAGGTCTGGGCCTCTTTGCTTAGGCTGCTGCCCCCGCGACCCGGCCCCGGACAAAGCGGATGAAGATGGATGGATGGATGTTTAGGTGTTTGCTCTCCTATAAGCTTTTTTTTCTTTACCAGCCTAATGAAAGTATTATTTCATTTGCATCAGCAACTTGTGTTGGGACAAATTAACATGAACTAAATCCAAATGTGACACTTTTAAATAATAAGAACACAGAAACAAGTCATCTGCCAGCTGTCCTGTTACTTTATTGCTGCTGAAATATATGATTGTTGAGTGGATAACGGGCAGTAAAATTTCAGATGGAATTGTAACTGATTTACTCTCCTTGATCACAGAGATCCATTTGTGTTTGACTGCAGCACTGCTGAGAAGAAGCCTAAGAATACAAAGGATGAGAAGAACAGGTATAAATGGGCTGGTAATGTGTTTGTATTGTGCAAATGAAAATAAGAATATGAACAAGAGAAAAATAGACGCAGAGTAGAAGCAGATTTATGCAGCATTTAGACTGCTGTGGGAAATCTCACAGAAGTTTCCGTCAGGCTTTAGGATATAGCTATAACGTATCTGCTCTGTTCATCAGTGATGGTGGTTCCTCAGAAGAAACAGGAAGTGATAAAGTCCTCGCCTTTGCTGTATCTCCATCTGGAAAGCTCCTGGCACTGACTGATGACAACAAGAGACTAGTTCTGTTTCGCTGTGAGCCTTCATGGCACTACATCAGCATCAGGTATGACTTCACCTCTGTCACTCAGTTTCAGTAGCTTCATCTACTGCACGGAAGTGTTCAGAACGGCGCTGTGTGTCTAACAGGTGGGTGGTGAGGAGGTGCACGTCCCTGGTGTTCACCCAGGCTGAGGAGGAGCTGCTGGTGGCGGACAAATCAGGAGATGTGTACGTGTTCTCGGTGGTTGAGCCACAGAAAGAAGGCGAGCTGAAGATGGGCCACCTATCTATGCTGCTAGCTCTAGTAAGAAACACCACTATCATTCAGTGCCTTATAAATAAGTCTATCAAAAGAAGTGTTTTGGCTGCTGATTCCTCACGGTGGATAAACAAACATGTTAGCAGTATGTGTGTTTTATGTATGCGTTTCCATCAGTCATTTATAGCATGTTGCTCTTGCCTTTAGTGGCAGCTGTCTGACAACATACTGCACTGAAATCTGCCGTTGGGTAGTCATCAGTGTATCTTCCATTTTTAACTGCCTGTTTCTCGCTATTTTTGTAGCAACACTCTACTTTCAGCAGTACAATACAGTTCAACTGATGCTCACGAGGGTATGGTACCACAGTGTGTTCCAACACTGCTTTTATGCAGGCAGAGGGGGAAGTAATCCAGAAAGGTTGGAACACCTGTAGGAATTAGTAGCAGCAGCTTTCAAGGCTTGATCAACCTCCTTTGCTGCACAACAGCCTTAAATTGTTAACCTATGTTGTGTTCCCTGAAAAAGGCCTTTGTGTATAATTCTGTACATTATTTTACAGTTTTGGGTAACTTTTTTTTTGTAAACCTCTGGCAGTTCACCACTTACCTTTGTACATTTTCAAGCTGTTCATTGGACCTGAATGACTTGAACTGCAACAAACAACTGGAAGAACTGTGGTGCTCTAAAACGTTTGACCGGCAGTGTATATTAAAAAAAGAAAAAAAGAAGTGTTCCACATTAGAGTACAGTAACCACTGTAGCACAACTGAAATCAGCTCAACCTGTGTTCCCTATATGTCCACTATATGATCGCTTCAATGTTATTAGCAGGAAATAAGCATTTTAGCCATTCTGTGACTAGAGGGTGTGGGAGGGGTCAGGAGCTGCAGAAAACACTATCTGACATCATGCACTCCAATATAATCGATCCCAGAAAGAACGAAGAAAACTCAATGAAGCTTGTTTCTGTCACAAACATGATATTGTGCCAGTTTTCATGTGCCTACAGTATGTTCCTGAGATGATTTCAGTCTACTTTCTAGTCCCGTTATTGTTTGCCAGCACTAAATTGGCAAGCAGTTCAATCTGCAAAGATGACCTCCATAGAGGTTTTCATCCCGTTTACTTTTTCAGTTCTCTTATGTGGATGAGCAGAACTTTCAGGGAACTTAAAACAATCAACATCAGTGTAAAGTTGGCATATTCTAATGTCAGGAACAACAAACCTCCGACGTTTGTCTTTAACCTGAACATCATTGTTGCCAGTGTTTTGGGGTTTGTCAGAGAAAAACAAGTTGCATATCCCAAAGTACTCTCTAATATTACAGACAAGTTTAAACTACTGCATCTCCCTTATTTATGTTGGGATCAGAGATATTGCTTTAGTTGCTGTAACTTCTAAGTTAATAATGTTTATTCTTATCCTCTTGTCCCACATGGGAAATTTGTCTTGGACAAACGGTGCTAAACATAGTAGCATTCTGATAATAAAACCAACACCTAGAGACGCTTAAAGGAGGCCATTAAATAGAAAACACGGACGATACTTTTAAAATACAACATGAACTGTTACATGTGAGGGAAGCTGCCGCCTGGTTAACAGAGCAACAGCACTCAGACTGTGTTTGGAGGCACAGGCAGAAAAACAATGGTCATTTCTAGAAGAGCCATAAATAAAAAGAGGGAGGTAAAGATTTAAGGGTCAGGGTAGTGTAGTGTGTACCCTTAGAGTGTTCAGCTGTGGCCTCTGTCTGCAGTTCCTCTCCTGCAGTTTCAGTTACAATAGGAGCAAGGTCCATCTGCTCCTCGGTGCTCCCTGCACAGACTGAAGCTTCAGCCGCAGCAGCAACTTCAGCAGGACGGGCGTCTTCTGCTCCAGCTTCAGCAGCAGCGTCAACAGCTTCAGCAGGACGGGCGTCTTCTGCTCCAGCTTCAGCAGCAGCGTCAACAGCTTCAGCAGGACGGGCGTCTTCTGCTCCAGCTTCAGCGTCAACAGCTTCAGCAGGACGGGCATCTTCTGCTCCAGCTTCAGCAGCTTCGCCTCCAGCCACAGGAGCAGCTTCAGCAGAGGAAGACCTTGGGTCTTTTAGAGCCTCACCAATGGCTTCTATTTGAGCATCAACAGGAAATGCAGCATCTTTTGTCACTCCTGCAGCAGTTTTGGCTGAAACGTCAGACCCAGTCACCTCTCGAGTGATGATTTCTGGGCCTGACTTCACCAGCTTCTCAAAACCAACACTGGGTACAGTCACTGTAGCTTGAGCTGCTCCTAAGGGTGCTGGTGTTTCTACACCAGGTGTGATAGGAGCCCCATATTCATTCTGAGCTTCGATAGTGCCTGCCTTTACTCCTGTGACTGTGATCCTCTGGGGTTCTGCCTCTGGTGCAAAGCCCTTGATTTCTTTCTTCTTCTCATCCTCAGAGTCAGAGTCCGAATCGGAGTCGGTAGAGTCTGAATCGGAGTCGGTAGAGTCTGAATCGGAGTCGGCTGCTGGTTCAGCAGCTACTTGCTCACTGGCAGCAGTAACAGGAGTGATGGCTTGTGCAGCTACAATGCTTTCTGCAGTGGAGACAACCGCTGGTCCCGTTCCATCCACAGACTGTGCTGGGAAACATCCAGGCCCTGAAAGTCTAACTGGGAAGGCAACTGCTGTCTTGTAGGCTAACAGGTTTGCTCTCTCATCTGGAGCCTCTGTTGCTGAAGAAAATGGTAAATATAACATGAACAGTTAAATAATAAAATAATATATTCAATTTGATTTGTGGGTGTGCATTCACAACTCCTCTTAGATACTTTTAAATCCCACTTCGAATCAAATGTACTTCCCCAATCCCAGAATCTGGAACTGTTACCTCACAAACCTATTGTATACGTAACAGAACATCGTTTAAACATTTGATGTTTTCTGACACATCTTACAATTTTATGAACAATATAAGATTTTTTGAAAAGTGTTACTAAAAAAGAAATGGCAGGGAAAATATTTTGTAACCGATTAGTTTAACAGGCAACAGGTCAGTGACATGATTGAAGAGAGCATCTTAATGAGGTCGAATTTCTAAAGAAGCAAAGATGAACAGATGATCACCAACTTCTAAAAACTGCCTCTGCAAACTGTGGAACGATTTCAGTATAACGTAAAATTATGGAGACTTTGAAATCGCGTCAGTTCATGGTATCATCAAAAGAATCAGAATTAAGAGAATCTCTAAGCAGGTACGTGCTGCAAACAAATACTGGATTTTTAGGGCTTCAAGCTCCACAACATTAAAACGGGCATGAACACTGAAGAGAAGAGGGACGACCCAAAGTCTGCATCTCTACACTAAAATAGGAGATGGGGAATTTTGATTATCAAGAAATAACATGTTTAAGATCATTCAGAATAGCGTCGTACAAATTTAGAAAATTGGCTATTAGACAGAAGGACCACAAAACTAACAACATGTCACAGAGTAAAACAGCAGCAGCTTTCTCCCTTACAGACTTCTAGTGAATTCAATTAAAATGATTCAAATGTACCACATGCTCTAAAATGTAAAAATCATATGGCACATTGTCTGTGAAGGTTCTCAGTCATCCAGGTCATCGTAGTCAAAGGAGCTTGCAAAGAAAAGCGTCTGGACTAGGGCTGCCACGATTTGTCGACTAGTCACGATTACGTCGACTATCAAAATCGTCGACGACTGATTTAATAGTCGACGCGTCGTTTGAAGCTTTGTAAGATCACAAAAGACGCAGGAATAAGTGGCAGGATTTAAGAGTGTAATAACGGACTGAAACAGAAGATGGCAGCATTGCATATACAAGGATGCCAGCTGCCGTTAAACCCCGAAGAAGAAGAAGAAGAAACAGCTGTGTCCCAGAATTCATAGCGCGGCCCAGCGCAGTTTCCAACAATGGCGGCAGCTAGTTAGTTTTAACTTTACTCTTATTATTCTTTCTGGGTCACAAAATAAACGTTTAACATATTTCAGGCGAGAATGTAGCTGTGTAAACCTCAAATATCTGCTCAGTTTATCAGGACACCACATATTTTCAAAAGCGCTCCGACGTTTTCGGAGACATCTGTTACCCACTAGCTCGTTAGCGAGCCGGGGGCTAGGCTCACTAGCGCCGCGAGAACACCGGACTCCCCGCAAATCGTTTTCAAACCCACCGCCGTCTTTCGCTACTCAGGTTAAATATATATGAGTCACTTAGATAACTTAAAATGTTATTGTTTGGCTTTTTTTAGTATTTTATTTGTTCCTGAGTAAATCAGTTTGTCTGAGATTAAAGTTATAGTTTTTACACAGCTGAATAAACGTCAAGCAGACAACTGATTATCAGAAGTGTGAGATGCTCCAGAATATACCCCAGGACACTGGGGTATATTCTGGAGCATATTCTGGGGTATATTTTAGATAGCAAGGAGTTTATTAAACTTCACCGAAACAATCTGCAAATTTCATTAAAATTTAATAAACTATCATCTTGTCTTTATTTTTAGTTAGCACAGACCTTAAACACTTAAAGCTGTAAGCTAATGATAGTTATATAAGAGCAGATGCTGCTGGTGCAATAAGCTGTAGTTTTACGTCCAATGGATGATGATCTGATTAGTCGACTAATCGCAAAAATAATCGGTGACTAGTCGACTATCAAAATAATCGTTTGTGGCAGCCCTAGTCTGGACCTCTTTGAGTTACTTGAAGACGTTTCACCTCTCATCCGAGAAGCTTCTTCACCCGAAACTCTGGCTGATTGGGACCCCACACCCAGTTTCACACCTTGGCTCAGGCGATTAGAGGATCATCAGGGGGTCCTTTTGTCCCTCTGTGGGGGAAACTCCCACTAGGTTTATATCTGGGACTCTCCACCATTTGACCTTAGAACTGAAGAAGCTTCTCGGATGAGAGGTGAAACGTCTTCAAGCAACTTAAAGAAGTCCAGACGCTTTTCTTTGCAAGCTCCTTTGACCATATGGCACATTAGCTTCACTGTGGAAAGAGGTGCATGTTACGCTTTAAAGGCATCATAACTGAAAGTACACATATACTCATCATGCACATATGCATTATTGTATGAATGAACAAAAGCAACCACCCAGCACAACTTAAAAAGCCACAGCGTAAAGCAGTTAACAGAACCCAAAGGTCTTTTTCTTGCCTGCACTCTTGGTCTTCTTCCCAGGTTTTGCTGGTTTTTCAGTCTTGGTGCAGAACGAAGCAGCTGGAGAAGTCCTCAGGATTCCCAAGTTCTCCAACTGGAGACGCTGCAGAAGAGAACAAAACATTGTCCAGTGAGAGTACAGAACCACACATTCAGGCTCGTTTTTGTGATCATTTCACTGGTTCTCGCAGTGTCCTATTTTCTTAATCCTGTCTGAAAAGACCTGACACACATTAACTTCTTTATAGTCACTTTAAGTCTATCTGCACCATTTTTGCATCCACCACCACTAAGCATTTATTTATCTGACCAATTTTAAAGTCTGCCACGAAGAGGAAACTGCCTGAACACCATCAACACTGTCCACCGTGAAGTGAGTTTTACATTGTCATGGTCTGAGAGGGTGCTGACCTATTAAGAAACCTCTGGTCTACCTCCAAATTCTCCGACTTCACCTCAAACCACCTGAAACTTGGACACACTAGGGCACGGGTGTCAAACTGCAGCCCTCGAGGGCCGGAGTCCTGAAACGTTTAAATGTGTCCCTGCTGCAACACATCTGAATAAACTATGATCCTTAACACACATCAAAAGTGTTTTTAGAATGGATAGAGCAGGCTAACATCACACTGAGGCTACGTTCACTCTGCAGGTCTTAATGCTCAATTCAGATTTTTTGACCAAATCCGATTTTTTTGTCTGCTCGTTCACACTACAAATAAAATGCGACAGCAAACGCGCTCTAGTGTGAACGCTCAAAGCGGCCGCATGCGCAAAAGAAGACGTCACACACAACGCGCTCTGTTTAGACCCAGAACAACAGCATGTTTGACTGATGGCCCTTAATATAAAGACTTCAGACTTTACGTTTTCCAATTTTTGCTTTAAGTTATTTTGTTATTGACATAATAATGTAAATAACCTAATAATGATCCTTATTGCTGTTTTAGAGGAGCGCTGCTTCAAAGGATAGCTGCAGATTTCTGTCAGAATCTGCAGATTATACAGTACAAATAAAATGTTCACGTTTCTCCAACGCTGTCTTCCCAACAGTTTCACTGACATCTACGCTGGATGGCCAGGAAGCGTTCGTGATGTCTTCTCCGGAGCTGATAATTAGTGTCTGTCTTGTGTCAGTGACGTAAAAGACGGATTTAATGCGACATGACCATCAAACAGCAGTCGCTTTCTAAAACATCAGATATGTATCGGATTCAGGACCACATACGAAAGTGACCCAGATCGGATTTGTGCCGTTCACACTGTCACACCATGATCGGATAGATGGGTCGAATAGGGTCACAAAAAAAAAAAAAAAAAAAAAAAAAATCGGATTTGATGCGCTTTCGCCTGCAGTGTGAACGCAGCCTTACTGAATGTCCTTCCCAAAGATCCCAACTTCAACCTTATTGAAAATTTGTGGACTACACTTAAAAGTTGGATCCATCCCAGGAATCCAACCAATTTAAATAAACTCTACCAATTGTACCAGAAAGATTGGTCATATAACCAGCCAGAATTATGCCAGAGGTTTACTGGTGACTACCAAAAGCATCTGGTTGAGGTGTCAGTGTTTGCATATATTCAAGCCAGTATGTATATTTTTGACTGTGTATGGAAAATCCAAAATAAATTCAAACTTTAAAGCCATTAAAGATATATGCTGTACAATCATTCCACCCTGGAAAAAAGAACAAGTCAAATTAGCGTGACATTCATGCCCAGTGATGAGCGTATATAAACTTCTGACCTAAACTGTACACACTGCTCGTTTTGAGCGCTCTTATTTAGACTGATCAACTGTAACATTATAATCATCTTCCTAACATAGTGTTGGTCCTCCTTCAGCTGCCAAAACAACCCTGACTTCAGGCCGAGGCATGGACTACACCAGACTCCTGATGGTGCGCAGTGGAATCTGGCACCAACATGTCAGATCCTTCAGGTCCTGTAAGCTGCGAGCTGGGACCTCCATAGATCTGACTTTTTTGTCCTACACGTCTCACAGATGCTCGACTGAACTGAGATCTTGGGATTTGGAGGCCAAGTGAGCGCCTCAAAATCATTGTTGTGAACCATGAACCATTTCTGAACCTTTTTGCTCCGTGGCAGCATGCATTACCTCGGCCATCAGAGAATACCCACAAAGATTCACGTTTTCCCAGCAGAACTTTACCCAAAGCATCACATTGCCGTCACACTAGGAGATGCTCTGACCCCGTCGTCTAGCCATCCCACTTTGGCCCTTATCAAACAGTCAAATCCTCATGCTTCCCCGTTTCTTCCTGCTTCTAACACATGATCCTTGGGGAGAAAATGTCCACTTACTCCCAAATATATTCCAAATCAGGTCAGCAAATCAAAATTTTACTTCACATGTCAATGATCATAATGTTATGCCTGATGAGTAAATTCATCTATTCATAAAATCAGACTGTGAAGACATTTTAGCTTTATTATGTTCGTTTATCACCTATTTTATCAAGTCACCGAGGAAAGGTGTGAGTTGGGGCTGACACGCCTGGGAAGGGTTCTAAAAGTCGGTCCCAAGGCCAACACTCCCAAACACAAGCTAAAAACATGTATAAAACATGTATACAGTCAAGTGCAGCAGGGAATGCTGGGACCTCTACAAAGGAGAAACCAAACAGCCATCCCACAACATGGAAGAGCCACCACAGCGTAAGACTCAGTTGTACACCTGCACATAAAGGATGCCGATGTTCACATTTTGGACCAAGGGACAAAAAGTACGTGAGGACCATCATCATCATCATCTGACAGGAGCCATCAGCCACCAACAATTCAGTTTTGTGCCTGTATGCTGTGCAATCCATCCCCCCTAAGAAAAAAATCAGTCCTAACCGTGATAAAAACCGGCTTAAACTATCAGAGCACAGAGATCATTTATTTCCCCTTTTTCAAAGTGGTTCGCCTCTTTCCAATAACAACAGGAACAAACGATGTGACCTGTAACTGTGACAGTTTCAGGGTCATGTGTCGGTGCTGCGGTTGGCCTGTCCTGTTCCGACAGTTGCCGTCTGGTCTGTACTACAGACGCCAGCGTTGATGTGACTGAGTCCAAGTGTTGTATCTGTACTAGTACAACTAAACACGACACCGATACAGTAAAACACTGAGAGCTAGTACAGTTCTTGTTACCTTGAGAGGACCCAATCGTCCTATGCGAAACAAGAAAGTCGCCATTTCGTGTTCCCAATATTATTCTCCGGTCGGAAACTGGGCTTAAATACAAGAGTTCCGTGATACCAATGGAACTTTGAAAAACAATGTTTTGATTTTAAAGGATTTAAAAGCGACGTGATTCGATAGGCCTTCTTTTTACTTTTACTATATAGTGATTTAGGTTGTGTCAGTACAGACATTTGGAGGCTTCTCCTCGTGTAAATAAGCGAGACTCACTCTTGTGGCGGCGCCACAGCGGATCACCTGCCTCCATCTATCCCCGTGGAGATGAAACCCATCTCCACAGTGACACCTGCTGGCCAATTTGGCTGTGGTCACAACTGCTTATTATACTGTGACTGTGAATAACTCAACACAAATTTCGGAGAAATCCACACAAACAACAAACAAAAATATTGAGACTGTTAAAGACAACAAGCTGTGACTGTAATGGATTCTCCCTCTGTTAACAATCGTGCTGCTCTTTACAATAAATCAGTTTATAAAGTAAAACACACAGAGAGGAGACTGCTGTGTTTGCTGCAATAAGCACACAGGTTTCCAGCTGCATTTCCAAGTAGGATTCAGCAGGTCAGAAAACCCTAACACTGGCTGTAATGGCTCCACATAGGGAGAAGGATCGACTCCCAGCAATTTCTATTGTGGGCTTCTGTAGATTTTCTTTATGCACATGCTGTAATCTGCTGACCTGCTGCTCTCTGTGTCCTTAAACAACTGAATTTAACAAGATGTCAGCAGTTTCATCCCCCACACTGACACTATACAGTTTATACTGTCTTTACACTTGACAGTGTACAGCTGGAGTTCAGTGAATTAATCTAAGCATCATCAGCTTAAATACAAATTCATCTCTGCCAGACTTGATAAAACCTAAATCTGAGCATGAGCACCACAGCCACTGTGTATCCGTACAACACAGTGCTTTACTGTGTTGTACACACTCACTACAGTTACTGGACTCTACACACTGTCACTTTAAACAATGCCACTTTGAATGCTCACTGCACAGTTTTGCACAAACTGTAAATGCTAAACTATTTGTTTTAAATTCTCCATAATTTTTAACACTTTTAGTATTTTTATTACAGTTTTAATTTTAGTATTATTATTTTTCTTTAATATACCTGTTTACTTTATATATGTTCATGTAAAGTTGGGGGACACGCGTCTAAGAATTTCAATAGGACTAAATGTTGCTACAATGTTATCTGTATATGACAATTTGTATGAATAGTCTGTGGGCCACTGTTGCTTGTGCTGTACAAAGTAAGCAGCCAGGGCGGTGAAGAGGGAAGATATACGAAAGTACCTGGAGAGCTGAAGTGAAACTGACTGTTAATTGTAATGAAAAAATGTCCACGACAGATGCTGTCTATGCTTTTCTTGCTGTATTTAGTTTTACATCTGCTCCCAGCGATGTACAATTAGGATCTTAAAGGCTTTCATGGGAGCACATCTGAAGTGGGTGAACAGCTTGCTCTTGCTGTTAGAACATGTATGTAGACAGACGTGTTTCTGGGACCATAAATTATGCATTAGCTGCTCTTTTTATACCCAATCATGTCACTGACCTGGCCAGTTAACATAATCAGTGGCAAAAGATATTTCTTTTGATGTCACTTACTTTTCCAGCTTTTTGTTCTCCCCACCCCAACTTCGAAGAGCTGACGCTGCCATCAAATTCAAAATGAGAAATTATAATCATGAATTACTGTATTCTGTTTTTATTTATATTTTACACAGTGTTACAACTTTTCTACTTTTGGAGTTGGTAGAGAATTTACTCCAGTGTCCTGTTATATTTTAAGTAACAAGGAGCAGACGGCTGAGTCTATTAAACTCCACTGAGACAGCTGGTGACACAAATCTGAAGGCTAGACCGTCCCCTTTCACAGCCACTCACTTCCAGCATTCTCAGTCTTCGGAGGACTTGGCCCACGTAGACTGTGAAGGCCGGGTCCCCCGAAGGATGCAGCTCCTGAATTGAGAAAAAGCTAATGTAGGCTTTAAGGGTCCTCCTTTCCAGGCATCTGAGGACCAGGTGTCCCACCAACAGGGTCCACAGAGACATTACGATAAAAAGTGTTTTGCCTCAGTTGTTGCCAACTGCGCCGATGTGTCAAGCCATCCTGCACAAAGAGGTGCAGAACAACGCTGTCACAGACATAAATAAAAGGGTGCAGTATGTTCAAAAAAGGGGGAAAAATCAAAGTACAGGTCAGTCTGTCTCCCAGCGAGGGTGGAGCTGTACCAGCTTTGGATGCAATCCCCCGGGTCCCTTGGTTGCCATGGAGAGGGAGTAACACAGTCACTCATACCCTAACATTCACATACATATACTCTTTTGGACATACTGGGGGCAACTCAGGGTTCAGCATCTTGCTCAAAGATACTTTGACACAGGACAGGAGGGGCAAGGGATTCATCCACCAACCTTCCAGCTTGCTTTACTATTTGAGCCACAGCCACAGCTGACAACAGACCCAGTTTCTTATGAGGCTTCTCTGTCACTGGGTCTTATGGAGAATTTTCACCAGCATCTTGCTCTATTTCACAAGGGAAACTGTTTCATTTAGAGCTTGCTTGCGTTGCCCCGTGTATCCCTCCCTGTGGCTGGATGCCATCTCAGTGACATGGTGCAAGTTTCCCACAAATGCCGTTTAAAAAAGTATTCACTGTGGGTATCCCCGTGGGTATGATGGATATGAGCAAAACTGTAACAACAGATGCCATGTTGACAGGGTGGGGCTGCCATGCTGCCAGGCCCCAGTGCTCGAGCTGTTGTACATATTTCTGTACAGCCTGCGTGCGCTGGGCACAATGAGCCATTCACTAAAACAACAGACCCTAAACCTGAACAGCAGCATCACAGCAATGTTAAAATACCTCAATAATAAACTTCCCCGCCTTTCAAGCTAAGCGCTACCTGTGCTGGAAGTATGAGCAGTCTTTAAATCTTAATTTTCAAGGTTTTGCTCCGATTTTAAAGTTATTTTTACTCGTACTTCTTCTCCTGTGGACACGGCCGCGCTTCTTATGTGCGTCCCGTACTCAAGGGGCGTTCCGTGACGTATTTCGTACGCGACAAAATACGGCAGTTTCCCGTCGCACACATGGGTGCCCAGTCGCGTTAAGCATCATGAGTGCTGTAGGTTTTTGTGGAAACTGGATTATTATCACCTGCGACAAAAAACTGTTTGCAGTGCATACAAAGGAAACCAGGTTTGACTTTAAATCTCTTTCATTGGCTCCGTGTTAGAAATGCTCGCAGCTCTTCACGTTAGAGCGAATACACTGGGACATGGACGTATGGTTAGCTTGCTTTTAGGGCTTTCTAAAATAGGAGGTCATACTTAATTATACTGTTTAAAGAAAGTGCTGTTACCCTTACACCCCACCCAACCAAGCGCTCTCCTTGCTCAATCTATACTTGTGGATAATCATACAAGAAAATCTGTGAATATGGGGTAACTCTTGTTTATTGTGTAGAGATATATAAATCATGACACAACGATGGTTTCAAATGATAAAAACCGCCACTTACGAATTACACTTGGTTCCACAAAAACGTGTACGGGGATCACATTTTTGCAGTGTTGCTCCTGCAAACACCAACAGGGGAAGTGATGTAAAACAAGCTGAAAGCTCTCAGCTTTAATTAAAGGGGTTCCTCCATTTCCACAGGCTCAACAGAAACTGAGCCGGCAAAGTTATGAGGGTTATTTGAACATTAGATTAACATCCTCTGCGTCAAAGACTGCTTGAAGTCTGGAACCGATGAACATTAGCGAATAGTTTCCTCCTCTGAGATGCTCTGCCGCCTGCCACCACCTTCAGCTGCTTCAAACCTCTGAGTACATTCATGATGGCATCTTTTGACTTTGGACATCTGGAAAATACTGCTGTAGCTCTCCTGGTTGAGCTGTCTGTATATGAAACACTGAGCTCTTGTTACAGAGGCCTAGGTTTGCTTGGTATCTGGCAGCCTGTGATTTCTTTCTGCTCCTCTTTAAGTGTTGCTATCTACAGATAACATGCTAAAAAGTAACAAATTGTTGGTACATGTTTAGGTGTTCCTCCTGTATCCGAGGTTCGACTAACGGACGAACTCTCCTTTCCAGCACCCTGGCATAGACTTTCCCAGGGAGGCTGAGGAGTGTGATCCCCCTGTAGTTGGAACACACCCTCCGGTCCCCTTTCTTAAAGATGGGGACCACCACCCCGGTCTGCCAGTCCACAGGTACTGCCCCTGATCTCCACGCAACATTGCAGAGGCGTGTCAACCAGGACAGCCCTACAACATCCAGAGCCTTCAGGAACTCGGGGCGGACCTCATCAACACCAGGAGCTCTGCCACCAAGGAGTTGTTTAACTGCCTCAGTGACCTCGCCCCCGGAAATTGGCGGGTCATTCCCCTCATCCCCAGACTCTGCTTCCTCCTCGGAAGACGTGTCAGTGGGATTAAGGAGGTCCTCGAAGTATTCCTTCCACCGCCTGACAATTTTCTCAGTCGACGTCAGCAGCGCTCCGCCAGCACTATACACAGTGCAGGTAGAGCACCGCTTTCCCCTCCTGAGACGCCTGACGGTTTGCCAGAATCTCTTCGAGGCAGTCCGAAAGTCTTTTTCCATGGCCTCTCCGAACTCCTCCCACACCCAAGTTTTTGCTTCAGCCACTGCCCGCACTGGAACGGTTCGCAGCCGAGTGTGAAGCAGCGGGAATGAGGATCAGCACCTCCAAATCTGAGGCCATGGTTCTCAGCCGGAAAAGGGTGGAGTGCCCACTCCGGGTCGGGGATGAGTTCCTGCCACAAGTGGAGGAGTTCAAGTATCTCGGGGTCTTGTTCGCGAGTGATGGGAGAAGGGAGCCGGAGATCGACAGACTGATTGGGGCTGCAGCTGCAGTAATGCAGACGCTGCACCGGTCCGTCGTGGTGAAGAGGGAGCTGAGTGTAAAAGCGAAGCTCTCAATTTACCGGTCGATCTACGTCCCTACCCTCACCTATGGCCACGAGCTGTTGGTAGTGACCGAAAGAACGAGATCGCGGATACAAGCGGCAGAAATGAGCTTCCTCCGAAGGGTGGCTGGCCTCTCCCTTAGAGATAGGGTGAGAAGTTCGACCATCCGGGAGGGGCTCAGAGTAGAGCAGCTGCTCCAC